TAAAAGGTGAGAACTCCATTAGGCTTTTTATTTTTAGAGTTCTGCTTATTTCTTTCATAAATGTCTGCTGGAATTAGTAAGAGAATTGGTAATTTCTTTGTCCCTTTCATTTATATATTTGATATTAAAATCTCCTTGTGGAAGTAATACTTACAGAGCTAAGCACAGATTGTCATGGTGGTAGCTACTTGACTATTGATGAAGTATGCCTGCCATTTTCCTTCTGTGTGAATAAGAAAAAAAACCTTTGAGTTAGGCAGGCTATTATTAAGCAAAAAGAGGGCTTCTCTTCCAAAAAAGCTATCTTCTTCATGTTTGATATATTTCTCTTTTCTGAAGAACATGTTGCTTTAATGGTACTAGTCATTTTTCTGGCATACTGAGGCTCTTCCTGATGAACTCCACTGTAATCTGTCCGCATCTAAATGTTACATGTTTGGGAGTTTGATTTGTTGTCAGAGATTATCATTGGTTTTAAAGCATCCTCTTTGCCTCTGAAAAGTTGGTCTTTTGAGCTCTGGGAATGATAAAGAACCTAAGTCTAGAGTCCCAAGTCAGTGCTTTCCTCCCTTATAACTGATATACTCGAGAGTGTTATCTTTCATTTGCTTGTCTTTCTCTTCCCTATCAAGTAGGTGAGATTAGGATGTCTTATTTCCATAGGGAAACATCTCAGATATAAACAACAGTAGTGTAACTAAAGATTAATCCTCACTTCTCCCTTTGACTCCTCTCTTCCAATCCATGTTATTTAAAAATCTGAAAAAAATTGCTTTCATCCTAGACGCAAATCCAGATCTCCTTCCCCTAGAAGACGATCTTCCCCTGTCAGGAGAGAGAGAAAGCGCAGTCATTCTCGATCTCCCCGTCACAGAACCAAGAGCCGGAGTCCTTCCCCTGCTCCAGAAAAGAAGGAAAAAACTCCAGAGCTCCCAGAACCTTCAGTGAAAGTAAAAGAACCTTCAGTACAAGAGGCTACTTCTACTAGGCAAGTACATAAAAATTCATTTATAAATAATCACAATTTTAGATTAATAATGACTGCAAATAATGACATCTGAGTTAAACTAGTTATTCTCCTTTTAGATTTTTTAAATTATAAAATTAGTTTGTTGAAAAGAAATTGTTTAGTAAAATATATTTAAAGAAAATGCCCCAAAGGGTGACCATTACTATCTTTTGGTTAAATTGTTTCAGGTATTTTGTGTATTGTAACTTGCTTTTTTTCCTCAATGTATTGTGGACAACTTCGCACTTTTAAGAAATGTATGTGGTTGCCAGATGCAGGGGCGCATGCCTGTTATCTCAGCACTTGGGGAGGCTGAGGTGGGTGGATCGCTTGAGCTCAGGAGTTAGAGACCAGCCTAGGGCAACATGGTGAAACTCTGTACTAAAAATACATATATACACACACATACAAATTAGCCGGGCATGGTGGCACATGCCTATAGTCCCAGATGCGTATAGTCCCAGCTACTCAGGAGGCTGAGGTGGGAGGATCACTTGAGCCTGAGAGGTTGAAGCTGCAGTGAACCAAGATCATGCCAGTGTACTCCAGCCTGAGTGATAAGAGTGAGACCGTGTCTCAGAAGAAAAGAAAGTGTACGCGGTTAGAATTATTAGTTGCTCGGTTTCACTGATAGGTGTGTATGTATCTTTTGGAGCTAGAGACAAGTCTGTAAATTTTGAAAAGGTTTAGAAATAATTTATTACATCATTGTATAATGATTTAGAAGTCTGAGTACAAGAAGGCAAAAGAAAAAAAAAAGCTTTTGTTTCCACAGTGACATTCTGAAAGTTCCCAAACCTGAACCTATACCAGAGCCTAAAGAACCTTCTCCAGAAAAAAATTCTAAAAAAGAAAAGGAGAAGGAGAAGGCCCGACCACGATCTCGGTCACGCTCCAAATCAAGATCCCGGACGCGGTCCCGCTCTCCTTCTCACACTCGACCTAGACGGCGCCATAGATCCCGATCAAGGTGAGTTGTGGCTTTAAGATCAACAAATATCTTAGGTTTTATATGCTACTGTACTGGGTACAATTAGATAAATAATTTCAAAGCAGTAGAAGATGTTTAGTACAAATAGTTTTTGAATGTACACAGAGAATTTGAGGACACTTTTCTGTGTACCATAAAAGTGTCTGCATAAATGGAAAATTGTGATCCTTGAAATTTATTTTTTAGATGTAGCCATTAGAAAAAAGATGTAGCCTTAGAAAACTAAGGCAAGAAATTCCTCACTCCTGGTTTATTCAGGACCTAATTCTGTTTGTTATGGCAGATCGTATTCACCTAGAAGGCGGCCAAGCCCAAGAAGGCGGCCATCTCCTCGAAGAAGAACTCCACCAAGAAGAATGCCTCCTCCACCAAGGCATAGAAGGAGTAGATCACCTGTAAGACGGTAAGATTTTTAAAATTTGGAAGTGTCAAGTGTTTGACACTTCTGGATAATCTTTCTTTTAGGATAATCTGTAAATTAGTGTCCCTGGAAGAAAGAACTCATAGGTGATATTAGACAATGTCTTCTAAAGAATCTGTTTCATTTGAAGTGTAATGCAATTGTCCTTGTTATGAAAAATGTCTAGTCTGGTGTTGGAAAGTAAACGAGAAATTAATCATCTTATTGATACTTTTCTGTTAACTTTTACCCTTCTAGAGTTCACCAAGAAATCCTACTAAGTAAGGGAATTGGCCATCTTCTCTTTGGCTTTTAACTGGCTTCTGAAAAGTAGCTGATGATAGGACCAGTAAGCTCCTTTTGCCAGTATTAAAGTAAATCATTTGCTATTATACTTTGAGAAAAATACTTTCTATGAATTTTTTGTAAAATTCTCAGAAAATTCTCATTATAGAAGTAATGAGGCTTATAAGTAATTCAGACAGAAATAGTATAACTTGGAAGTTTTCCATAATCCCGGGGGAATATATCTGTATTCCATAGATATAATTGTTATTACTAGTTTAGTGTCTATTTTTGAAAACCCCGACTGTACCAGTGTTCTTTTTCTTAAATCATTCTAAAATGAGCATATGATAAAATATTTCAATCTTGGACATATCACTTTAAACAAAAAGTTAGTGGCTAAATCTACCCAAAGTAGAGTCCTGGTGCACTGGTAGCAGAGTTTTTGTGCCTTCTTGCAATACATTTCACCTGGCTTTGGAAGAAATGCCAATGATTAAGCTTCCAGTTTTATCTTGGACAGAAGTTTTTGTTTGAATCTTTTAAAGTTCTTTTCAGGGAACCAAATCAATTTGGAAATAAAGAGGGGAAAAATCAAGTAAGCTTTGTAAAGTTACTTTGTTTCTGCAGTCAGGTTTTTCAGAGTCCCATACGTTTGAAAATTCTCTTTGGGGAGGGGTTGTCAAGATATATTGAACTATTACCACTATTACAAAGAATTGATGTGTTACTGCTCATAGAGGAGATTAGTGAGGTAAATGGTCAGTCAGTTTTCAGGCATCACACTTTTCTAATTCCCCTTTAGGAGAATAGTAATGCTGGTGCTTCCTAGTACGAGATTAGTGGAAACAGCTATTTCTTATACCGGAGTTTTGCAAACAGCATGTTTAAATTGTGCTTACTCAGCCATTTAGCAGTCAATATTTTACAGATTGTTTAAGATTCCCTTTCAGCCAGTTTTTGTCTCACACTTAAGGTAGGGTTTCTTTTTTTCAGGTTCTCAGGAATTCTTCCGCCAAAGGTGAATTCTGCAGGTACACATAATTGCAACAGAACTTAACACAAATTTTGCCGCAGAATTCGAGAGGCCCCTGCTTCTAAGTTTATGTAGCTAAATGAATTCTTAGTTTTGCACACCTTTTTAAAAAATGCAACCTAAAGGTTTCTCAACATTGTGTTATTAAATGAAAAATACCTTGCCCCCAAATTTTGTATGCAAACTCCAAAACACCAATACCATTCCTAAGGCAGAAGGACTAGTTATTTTATTATAGCATTCAACCTGACAAGTTTTATAACTGGAGAGAGAACACAGACAGAAGCATTTATCAGATTAAGTTGTTTATATTTAGTCTCAGAACTAGCTGTTTCCTGGCCTAGGTTATGGTTTTTTTCCCCATTCTTTTGGACTCATTTATGTGCTTAGCTACATAAACTCAAAAGTTGGATTAAAATAGCTGTATTTTTGTGTAAACTGTTCATACCTGTAAGGCCGTTCTTTAAAAGTGTGCAATTAGTGAATATGAATACTTCATTCCACAGAAGAAGACGTTCTTCAGCATCCTTGTCTGGGAGTAGCTCATCATCCTCTTCATCTCGTTCACGGTCACCACCAAAGAAGCCTCCCAAGAGGACATCCAGCCCCCCTCGGAAAACTCGTAGGTTATCTCCTTCAGCAAGTCCTCCAAGGCGAAGGCACAGGCCATCACCTCCTGCAACTCCACCACCCAAAACTCGGCATTCCCCAACACCTCAGCAGTCAAACCGTACAAGAAAAAGTCGTGTTTCCGTGTCTCCAGGGAGAACTTCAGGTAAAGGTAAAAATCAAACACAGATGAAACATGTTCTCTCTTTCTTTGACTACAAAGCATAGTCAGTTACTGCACCTGCTTACTCTCAAAGTATAAAATAGCTAGATAATATTTGTGTCTGATACTCTCTGTAAGTTTGCTTATAGGCCTACCTCTTTCCTGCTTTAAAATCTTGGGGCTTTTTTATGTGTAAAAGCATTTTGTTTTTAGCAATGCCCTCTGGCATTGTGCAGGTGGATAAATCTTTTACCAGCCGTGGGCTGTTTGAGTTGGGGTAACATATCGAAGTTTGCGTTGGCATGATAAGGGATCATTTTATTACTATGAGGCCAGTTAACTTTTTTTTCTCCTGAAGATTTTTGGTTTGATATCTTAAGTAAGAGGACTTCATATTCTCTTTTAGTTCTTTCTTGGCCGCGTTGCGCTCCCAAGCAAAGGACATGGTGTCCTCTTAAAAGCTGATTTGTTTTTTTAATTTAGGCTCTAGGCAGGGTTCTTCTGAGTGTTGTCCTTGCTTTATTCTGCAGATTGATTTCTGAGGAATTTATGATCTGTGATCCTGCCAGGCAAGTAGAATGCTGTGTTAGTCTGAGTGAAGGTTGTGGTCTATTGGGGTTTGTTCTGTGAGCATTAAATACGCATGGAAAAAACTAGTGTCCATTTGAACCAGGCTCTCTGGAGCTTAGGGCTGGAATGATACAGCCTAAAAGGTGAGTAGTAAGGGATGGGGAGGATCTTAAAAGCTGCTATAGCAATTGAATTTTAAGGAGCAATCTGTAGGTTAACACATACTGGGGTTGTTATGATCATATTGAAAATTTCATGTTAGAGCCAGGTGTGGTGGCATGAGCCTGTAGTCCCAGCTACTCAGAAGGCTGAGGCAGGAAGATCACTTGAGCCCAGAAGTTCAAGGCTGGCTTCAGCACCGTAGCGAGATCCTGACTCTTAAAAAAAAGAGAGAAAAAATTTCAGATTAGAAACAAAGAAATGGGGATGGACAAAATTTTCATTATACATTTTAGTGAGCTTGATGAGATCGGCATTGCTAATTATTCACCCTGCTGCCTTCTCTCTCCACTCCCCAACGATGCAATGTGGTGATACCTAGGAAGGCAAATTTTGCTTTCCTTTTTTGTATCTGTGACAATGAGGCATAGATAAGCTGACAGTGAAAGGGTGACCAGCGGTTTATGGTAGTCTTTAAAAAGTAATGTTTTCTGAATTGTGACATTTTTATTGTAGTGATACATTGATTAAATAAGACATGGACATTTTTGTTGGCCCCTTATACAAGCAGCTAGTGAAAGTAGAGAAGACTGTAACTGTTCCAGGTTCAGTCCTCAGTTTGAGAGAGGGGCTTCAGGATCACTATTTTTATAACCTCATGTACCATACTGCTTTTCAGCATTGGGAAAATTTCAGTCCATTTTTAGTTACCATGTCCAAATCTGATGCCCATGGCCCTGACCTATTTTGTCTTTTCCTGTGAAGTTTGTACTTCTGAATATTTACTCTTTGTCTGGAGCCGCAAAACTCTCTAGGGAAAAAAACAAGTGTTTCCACCTGTTACTTTGCAAAAACACATCAAATGATGATTTTTTTCTATTTTTTTCATATAGCCAAAGAGTTGCAAAAGTACCTGAACAGAGGGACCAATCTTTGTTAAAATACGTTGATTGTTAAGAATTATTAGGTACCTTTTAAAAAGCATATGCACAGATGCTAATTTCTTGTGTTTTGGCATATATTTTTTGCAAACAAGACAGAGTGGATATGTACATAGGAAAGAAGTAAGCCATGGTGAAAATAAGTAGTTCTGTGGGTTTTGGGACAGGGCTTCCATGTCCAAACAGCCTACTCAAAGAGAGGCGCTACAGGCTCTAGTCAGAGTCTCCCTTGTGACCACTGGAGCTGAATATTGGTTTGAGCTACTTGGAAATAACCTCTCCTCCACCTCCTCCCTGCTCCCCAAAATAGAGCCAGCATCTCACTCTGTCACCCGGGCTGGAGTGCAGTGGCCCAGTCATAGCTCATTGCAGCTTCCAACCCCTGAAATTACAGGTATGAGCCACCACACCCGGCCTAGACATAACCTTTTATATTGGACTGATCCTAGCCCCCTATGATGAAATTTCGGAGCTAGAAAAGACCTTAACAGTTGTCAGCAAGAAACAGATTTTCAGGTTAGTTGACTTGGTCAAGGTCAACCAGCTAGGAATAAAACTTGAGTTGCCATTCCCAGTTAAATAATGAATACTTTTCCCAGCTTTCCTACACCAGAATTCCTCTTTGATTGCTAAAGGTGAGAGGTGGAGGGCAAGGTTGAAATTGTTTAGCTTCTCTGTCTGGTAGTGTAATTTCAGAAATTGCAGTTTCCACTACTTAGAACAGTAACATCATTGAAATGTAATAGATACTACAGTTATATTTTCTGTAGTGGCCACTAATCAGGGCCTTAGGGCTCTGTTCTTGATAGTGGGCAAATGGAGTGGGAGGGAGGCAGGAAAAGTGTTTAGGGGAACTTACAGGTTAATTATTTGAAAGAGAGTATACAGTCATCTGAAGGGATCTTAGGGGAAACATTTGTAATTATTGACATCTCGTTAAATTGACATTATCTTAGTAGTACATAAAATAGTGCTTTGAAATCAGTGGCACAGTCAGTGAAGTATGTTAACATGATTGATACTGGTGGTGGCGGTGTGATAATTTTACTTAGATTAGCTTGGCCACATAAATTGTACTCTCTATCTAGACACTTAATGGTTACTTTACTATTGCTGGTCACAGAATAACTTATCTTTATAAGTGATCTTTTAGGCAGATCTAAGATTAATAATTAATAGGACTGTTGGAGTAAATTTAAAATTCTGGTTTTAAAGTTGCCTTCTACGTTGTCTGACTTCATGCTAGAATGATTTTGTACCTTGAATACTTAAAATAAAACAACATTACCAAAAAGCAAATGGTGTAAAGTCTCATCTAGAAAAATAGAAATCTGAAGGGCTATTATAATATTAATAATGCTGATTCAATTGTATGAAACCAGAGTAGGAGTATATAAATGATCCTTGTTTGATGGTATAAATTTTTCTTTTTTTGGAGACGGAGTCTTGCTCTGTCGCCCAGGCTGGAGTGCAATGGTGCGATCTCGGCTCACTGCAACCTCTGCCTCCCAGGTTGAAGCGATTCTCCTGCCTCAGCCTCATGAGTAGCTGGGATTACAGGCGCATGCCACCACACCCAGCTAATATAAATGTATTAATAAAGACTACTTTAGCTAAGTAATTAGTGAGAAATTGAATCAGGATGCAACTCCAGATGTGTATTTCCATTGGGGGAAAATGTAAATAATGTTACAATTCACTGGTATTATATAATGAATAGGCTTTTGCCAACTATCTGGTAAGCATAACCACATTTTTAATGTTTCTTAGGGGAAGATGTGTCCAATCAGTCAGCTTCCAAAGCAAGTTTGGGAACCCAGTTCTCTGAGGTGGTAACTTGGACATGCACTTTTTAACTAGATGCCCGTAATATCTTTTCAGAAATTGAGGATTAAGTAACACTTAAAAATATGGATTTAAAAAAAGAGCCTCAAATAGTTAACAATTTTAAAATATTTTATTTCTTTGGATTTGTTAAAATACAAGTATGAAATATAGTTGGCTATTTGCACTGTCATGATTCCTGATATCTAATTGAGTGATAGCCATTCTTTACCCAATCCAGTGATTTGTCCAAATGGCTTATTACGTAGAAATTTTAAGAAAAGTCGCTGGGCGTGGTGACTCACGCCTGTAATCCCAGCACTTTGGGAGGCCGAGGTGGGCAGATCACCTGAGGTCGGGAGTTCAAGACCATCCTGACCAACATGGAGAAACCCTGTCTCTACTAAAAATACAAAATTAGCCAGGCGTGGTGGTGCATGCCAGCTACTCGGGTGACTGAGGCAGGAGAATCCCTTGAACCCGGGAGGCAGAGGTTGCAGTGAGCCCAGATCGTGCCATTGCACTCTAGCCTGGGCAACAAGAGCGAAACTCCCGTCTCAAAAAAAAAGAAGAAAAGTCTGTTCATTGAAAAGGCATACCGGTAAATTCTTCATTTTGATTTCTTTTGCAAAGATGCAATTACTGTGTTAGATCACTGGTTCTCTAATTACTGCCCCTTGGAATAAACCATTACAGAATTCTGAATGTGAATGTCTGTTAAATGAGATGTATCTGCATTCTGAGTAAAACATTCCATGATAATTGCTTTAATCACACAAAACAGGTATCAGGATCCCGAGGGGATCAAATTGTCAGTAGGTTTATTTCGAACTGGGATGTTCTCAAGTGGTGTTTCAGGTTAATCTATGGTATATATATGTTTATATGTGAATATACTTAACAATTTTAGTTGTAGCAATGGATAGATACTATAAGCAGAGATAGTTGTTCAGATCAAAACCGATGCCCTAAAAATAGACTCTTGGATTCACATCTTAGCTCAATTAAATTGTCTTTGTGACTGAGGTGAAGTTGCTTCTTTTTAAGCCTCAGGTTTCCTCTTTATGAAATGGAACAGGGAGAAAGGGATGTGATACCAGCAACTGTGTTAATAGTATGTCCGATACAGCAGGTTTACCAAAGGTAGTTACCATATTTCTATGTCATTGGCAAAAGACAGTTGGATAATTCAGAGGATACCCACTGCTCTCCTACTACTTTAGCTATAGAAATGCCTTTTTTTCTTTCTAGCTCTTTGGAAAGAATTCTTGAGTCTTCGTATTTAATAATTTTTACCATTTGTGGCGGTCTGCTTTTTTTCATGGGTAGCTTAAATCCCCTGTGCTGTTGTGAAGATTATGCTCTACATAAAGAACCTTTAGTCTGTTGGGCAGCCATTCTTCTTTTCTAGACCAAATATCTTTGTGAAAGTTGCATCAGATCTTATTTCTTAATCATTTATCATCTTCTACTTTTCTGAACCCACCTATAGTGGTTGCTTAAAAGCTTTCATGTTGATGAATTCTCTGAAAGTGTGAGAGAGAGTGTGGGTGTGGAGGGTGTGTATTTTAGGTTGTGAAGTGCAAGTCGCACACAGAGGTTTACTTTACTGAGCTTGTTCTCCTCAGTAGCAGCTCCCAATTTCCCTTAAATGTTGGTTTTCTTGGGAGAATCTCAAGATTTGAAAATCATTGTAGAACTTCTTGAGGCTTTTCATTAAACAGTTAAAAAATTCTTGCCTCACTTCAGATAGTGTTCGGATATGACAAAAAGGTCTTACAGGAATTTTTTAATTCTTCATAAATTCTTTTTGAGAGTAGTCACACCCATTTTTGTAATAGCAGGAAGGCATCTTGGCTGGGTGCAGTGGCTCATGCCTGTAATCCCAACACTTTGGGAGGCTGAGGCAGGAGGATTGCTTGATGTCAGGAGTTTAAGACTAGCCTGACTAATATAGTGAGACCCCGTCTTTATTTTAAAATAATAATTTTAAAAATTGAAAGAAAGGCATCTTGTCTAGACCTTTTTTTGTACATAAGCTTCTTTTCTACTCTTATTCTTTTTTAGTGACAAAACATAAAGGTACTGAGAAAAGAGAATCCCCTTCACCAGCACCGAAGCCTAGAAAAGTAGAGTTATCTGAATCGGGTAAGTTTGTTGTTTTTTTGTGGTGTTTTGTTTGTTTTTGTTTTGCTTTTCTTAAAGCTGATTTTGATTTTTTGCACATTTGGTCATCCCCTTCTGCTTGAAGATTAAGCATAGGATAAGAGCTAAGACTCTGAAGTCAGACAGACTTGGTTGGAATCTCCTGTTCCAGAATTTAACTGTTTCTGTTTTAATTATCTGAGCCTTTCTTCTTTCAGCTCCGAAATAGGGGCAGTAGAGGTTTTTGACAGTTAACTGTATCTGCTTATAAAATGCTTGGCACCCGCCTGACCTGTAATAAATGCCTAAATACATTTTATTGTATTTGGTGAAGATAGTCTAAATCAGCATGTGAATTGGCATTTTAAACTCTTTTTTTAAAAAAATATAGTAGTTGTATTTTTGTTCCAACCAAATGAAGGTTTGAGAGACTATTTTCCTATTCAAATTGCAAATTTTCTATATGCGTAACTAAAGAAACACTTTCTAAATGCATCCATCTTTCAGAAGAAGATAAAGGTGGCAAAATGGCTGCAGCAGATTCTGTGCAGCAGAGACGCCAGTACAGACGACAAAACCAGCAGTCTTCATCTGGTATGGACGGTGATGAAAGTTTTTTTCTACCTGTATTTCCTAATAATATTTGGTATATGTATGTGTGCAGCACGAGTACTTAACTTGCCTACATAGAAATCTGTCTGAGGAGGCAGGATTGTTTTCTTTTTTTGGTTTTAAGTCCTTTTGCAAAATTTAATCTTCTGTTACATTGTTATAAAAGTAATAGGCCCTGGCTGGGCGCGGTGGCCCAAGCCTGTAATCCCAGCACTTTGGGAGGCCGAGACGGGCTCATCACGAGGTCAGCAGATCAAGACCATCCTGGCTAACACGGTGAAACCCTTTCTACTAAAAAAATACAAAAAACTAGCTGGGCGAGGTGGCAGGCGCCTGTAGTCCCAGCCACTCGGGAGGCTGAGGCAGGAGAATGACGTAAACCTGGGAGGCGGAGCTTGCAGTGAGCTGAGATCCGGCCACTGCACTCCAGCCTGGGCGACAGAGCGAGACTCCGTCTCAAAAAAAAAAAAAAGGTAATAGGTCCCTAGGATACAATAGTGAAACAGAAGTATAAAATTGGAAGAGTATCGTTCTTTTTCCAACCTCCCAAAGCTTTTATTCAGAAATTTTATTCAGAAAAAGGAAAGAACCCCACAGAAGCTCAACTGTAGATATGTTGCCTCCCTTTTTAACTTAACAGTGTATTTAGAACATCTTTCCCTATTAAAAATCTAGACTGGCCGCAGTGGCTCACACCTGTAATCCCAGCACTTTGGGAGGCCGAGGTGAGCGGGTCACTTGAGATCAAGAGTTCAAGACCATCCTGGCCAACAAGGCGAAACCCCATCTCTATGAAAAATACAAAAATTAACCGGGCATAGTGGCGCACACCTGTAATCTCAGCTACTTGGGAGGCCCAGGCAGGAGAATCCCTTGAACCCAGGAGGCAGAGGTTGCAGTGAGTGAGCTGAGATAGCACCACCGCACTCCAGCCTGGGAGCCTGGGCAACAGAGCAAGACTTTGTCTCCAAAACAAAAAAAGAAAAAGAATCTACCTTATTATTTTGCTATTTGCATTTTTTATTATAAGAACATACCAGGCTGGGTACGGTGGCTCACGCCTGTAATCCCAACACTTTGGGAGGCTGAGGTAGATGGATAACTTGAGGTCAGGAGTTTGAGACCAGCCTGGCCAACATGGCAAAACCCTGTCTCTACTAAAAATACAAAGATAGGCATGATGGTGCAGGCCTGTAATCCCAGCTACTCAGGAGGCACAAGCGATCTTTCTGCCTTGGCCTCCCAAGGGGCGTGAGCCACTGTGCCCAGCCTAGACTTCTTAGGGTGTGCCATCTTGATTGGATTACACTGTGGAAATGATTTCTGTGTCTTATTTAAATAATGAATATGCTTGGCTTTGAAATCATTGATCATATATTGATGATGATTCCGTTCAGAACTGATGGTCTATATACATGCTTGCTTGCCCTAGTGAACGCTCCATCCACCTAGATTTTGGAAAACTTGGACAGATTCAAGCACAAACCTAATGTAATATTTTTTTTATTGTGTAATTATAGACTCTGGCTCCTCCTCCTCCTCAGAAGATGAACGACCCAAGAGGTCCCATGTGAAGAATGGTGAGGTTGGCAGGCGGCGGAGACATTCCCCTTCCCGGAGTGCTTCTCCATCACCACGAAAGCGGCAAAAAGAGACTTCCCCTCGGTAACATCTTTTCTTCAGTGATGTTCACTGATGTTCTGTAATTGTGATGAAATTTGATAACTTGGGATTATTTGAGAATTTGATTAACTTCTTCAAGTATTTGGATATGGTTGGATTTTTGTTTGCTTTTTAGGGTTTTTGTTTTGTTTTTGCTTTGTTGGTGGTTATTAATATTTAATTTAGAACTGGTGAATTTTAAACCACCATGTCATATATGTGTGCATGATTAGAAAAATAAGCCAAATAATTATAACTTTAACTCCTGAACATCTTTGAATATTTAAAAATGTCTCCGTTAATGGTACTTAACCCACCCAAGTAAATAATTTAGTGAATGGAATTCTTGACATTTGTTTTTCTCCACTGCTCTCAGGATGCAGATGGGAAAGCGATGGCAATCGCCAGTGACTAAAAGGTTGGTTAGATACTACTTTGTAAATTAGGGTTACATGTCAAAAATTGTAGTGACTTAATTTCCTATTTAGGTGACCTCATCTCATTCTTAAATATATGGTGACTGTGGCTATGGATGTGCAGATCCTAAGTTGTTTTGGTTTGAGTATTTTTTTAAACACGTTAGATTAATGATAGAATTATACATGAGCTATTTGGTTTAGACCCTCATTTGAACTTAGATTTTTAATATCTGGTTGTGCTCTTTTGTGATAATTTGCATCAACTTACATCAAGCGGCACATGAATTTTTAACAGTATCTGGATACTTTTCAAGACATAGGATTAATTGCTCCTTAGATTTGGCGGGAGGGACTTTGTGGTGACATTAGGGAGGGCAGGAAAAACTAGGGAGAAACTTTAGAAATATTAAAAGTGAGAGGATCACAAGGTCAGGAGATCAAGTCCATCCTGGCCAACATGGTGAAACCCCATTTCTACTAAAAATATAAAAATTAGCTGAGCATGGTGGCTCGTGCCTGTAATCCCAGCTACTCTGGAGGCTAAGGCAGGAGAATCACTTGAACCCAGGAGGCAGAGGTTGCAGTGAGCTGAGGTCACGCCACTGTACTGCAGCCTGGCAACAGAGCTAAACTCCGTCTCAAAAATGAAGAGATAAAAGTGAATGGAAGGCTTTGGCCCTGTTCAGTCTTTCCAATAGTGGAAAGGTGGGTTGCATATCTTTTTTTTTTTTTTTTTTTGAGATGGAGTCTGGCTCTATCACCCAGGCTGGAGTGCATTGGTGCGACCTCAGCTCACTGCAACCTCTGCCTCACAGGTTCAAATGATTCTCCTGCCTCAGCCTCCTGAGTAGCTGGGACTACAGGTGCATGCCACCACACCCAGCTAATTTTTGTATTTTTAGTATAGAAGTGGTTTCGCCATGTTGGGCAGGCTGATCTCAAACTCCTGACATCAAGTGATCCACCCACCTCAGCCTCCCAAAGTGCTGCGATTACAGGCATGAGCCACTGGGCCCGACCGGCATATCTTTATTGAAACTTTTGATTATTAGTATCAGTGTGACCATAAAACTGTAAACTTTTAGAGCCAAATGCCTAATTCAGGCCTTAATCTCGTAAGTGAGAAGATAGAGGCCCCAATGTGGTAGTTTCTTAGGGCCACAAAGTGACAAAGTCGGATCTTAGACCTATACGTTTGACATTACACTAGTCTGTCTTAACCAGCTGTCTGCTTTTGGGGGCCTTAGCTGCCACTGAATTTTGAAGTGTTTATCCTTGCTGAAGCTATCCCACTATCCTTTTTGTAGCTCAGTTTTTGAAACTGTGTTGCTTTAGGTAATCTCATCAATAAGTGTTTTCTGGGAAAGGAACCAGTGAGCAGTGTTTGTGATGAAGCAAAGCACAGGGTATTTACACTGTGGAGGAAACTGCTGCATGATAATAAAAGACAAAAACCTAAAAAAGATTAGTTTGGCTGCTAAAGCATTCCTTTCCCAGCTATAACTACCTCTGACTTTTGTGAAGTTGCTGGCACAGCAGCTAAACAATTGCTTTACAGAGTTAGATTAGTGGTGCAATTTCTTCTCTTTGATCTCCCCTTCCCTCCCCACCCCGCCCCACACACCAAATTATGGAACTACTTGTTGTTCTGGAAAGAGATTTCTCACAGCAGTAAAATCAACACGAAAATTTATTGCTGTACTCCAGGATGTTTTTGTTTTATTTCTCGTCATTTAAAAAGTATTTTAAGTTATATACCATCAGCTTAAAGTTTAATGCCATTAAAAATTGCCATCAGGTGCCTAGGATTTAGAGATGGAGGAAGGATTATTTGGGATTATGCTTCAGTATCATATTTTAGAAGGGGAAATGGAGGCTGGGTGCGGTGGCTCATGCCTATAATCTCAGCACTTTGGGAGGCTGAGGTGGATGGATCACCAGAGGTCAGGAGTTCAAGACCAGCCTGACCAACATGGCAAAACCCCGTCTCTACTAAAAATACAAAAAATTTAGCCGGGCGTGGTGGTGCATGCCTGGAGTCCCAGCTACTCGGGAGGCTGAGGCAGGAGAATGGCTTGAATCTGGGAGGTGGAGGTTGCAGTGAGCCAATATCGTGCCATTGCACTCCAGCCTGGGCAACAAGAGCAAAACTCCATCCCCCCCAAAAAAAAAAAGAGGCTCACGCCTGTAATCCCAACACTTTGGGAGGCCGAGGCGGGCGGATCACGAGGTCAGGAGATTGAGACCATCCTGGCTAACACTGTGAAACCCCATCTCTACTAAAAATACAAAAAATAAGCCGGGCATGGTGGTGGGCACCTGTAATCCCAGCTACTCGGGAGGCTGAGACAGGAGAATGGCGTGAACCTGGGAGGCGAAGCTTGCAGTGAGCCCAGATCGTGGCCACTGCACTCCAGCCTGGGCAACAGAGCGAGACTCCGTCTCAAAAAAAAAAAGAAAAAGAAAAAGAAAGGGGAGATAAAGCCTGGTTTTGAATATTTGATATGTATTTAGTGTGAGGTCTTAGTCCCCACAAAGCATAAGCAGATTTAAGTTGAAAAATTTAGTGGTGAATTTTAGGATTTTGTCTGTTCAGTTAGCAGAGCTTTCTTAATTTCAAAGGGGAACCAAGACAAAACATAATTCCAGATTCACAGGAAGCATGAGTCCTGTCCTGGGCAAAAAAAAATTAAGAGCTTGGAGCAGAGACATCCAGATTTGGGTCTTAAGCCACTTGTGACTATTGGCATTTTTGAATTTCTGTATTAGTCTCTAAAGCAGTTGATTCCTAGTAAGGAATCAGAATCACCTGGAAAGCCTTTCCCAAAAACACCTGGCTGGACCTTAGCCTAGACCTGGTAGACATAAATGTCACATAAGCTTACCAGGTGGTTCTAATGTGCATCCCCAATAAAAAGCAGTGCTCTGATGTGCTGTTGCTGAACTTTTTCACTCTGTGTCATGTCAAGAATGTTCTGTATTGTGATCCAGAGTAAAACAAAAATTTCACAAAACAGTATTTACCCTTGTCACAAGTAAAACACTGTGGTTTTATTAATTGTTTCAATGCTGCCACCCAGGGTCTTGACTAACGGTCTTGACCTGTAGTTTGAAAAACACTGTTCTGAAACTTAGTAACCATTGCTGCCCTTGGGGTTAATGATAATTGAAACCGTGTTTTCTGGGTCACTGTAAATGCCACTGACTGAAAGTTAACTATAGGCCAGGCGTGGTAACTCACACCTGTAATCCCAGCACTTTGGGAGACTGAGGCGGGCGGATCACCTGAGGTCAGGAGTTCAAGGCCAGCCTGGCCAACATGGTGAAACTCCGTCTCTACAAAAATATTTTTAAAAATTAGCCAGGCACGATTATGGGTGCCTGTAGTCCCAACGACTCAGGAGGCTGAGGCGGGAGAATTGCTTGAACCCAGGAGGTGGAGGTTGCAGTGAGCTGAGATCGTGCCATTGCACTCCAGCCTGGGCGACAGAGCGAGACTCCGTCTCAAAAAAAAAAAAAAAAAATTAACAGTAATTCTTCTTGGTTTAGTGGTAGACGGAGGAGAAGTCCATCCCCACCACCCACCAGAAGGCGACGGTCTCCTTCTCCCGCCCCTCCTCCTCGACGGCGCAGGACTCCCACACCACCACCACGACGAAGGTACTTTGTCAAATACGCTAACTGGAGCGTCTCCCCAACTCCCCCAACCCCTGACATATCAGATGAGTAACGGGGCTCACTTCATAACAGGGTTGGAGAGAGGCACAGCTCATGAAAACCCAATCATCATGCTTAGGAACTACAAAAGGATCTCTGAATCTTTCTGATTATTATATCTTATTAGAGTAAGCAGACTAGCATTGTTCAGCCAGTCATAAAAGATCACATATGATTCCATCTATATGAAAAGTCTAGAATACACAAATCTATAGAGATAGAACACAGATTAGGGTCGGGTGGACATGTGGATGGTAATGGCTGCAGAACTATATGAATATACTAAAATCATTTAATTGTATACTTTAAATGGGTAAATAGGTGGATTTTATAGCAGGTGAATCACATATTGTGATAAAGATGTTAATACATTGAAAGGTGGTATTGACTAGTAATTGCAAATAGAAAATTTAGAGATTCCTGTCAGATAGCTCTTACCTAAATAATCAAAGATAACATCCTCAATAAAACATACTGGCATCATGTATTTCCTGGATACTTCTGTAGTATGCTTACCAGTTATGCCGAACCTCAGTCTAATTATTAGGAAATACCAGAGAAACCCAAATTGAAAGTCATTCTACAGAATATCTGACCAGTATTCGAAAGTGTCAATCATGAAAGACAATGACAGAAACAGTCACAGATTGGCAGGAACTAAAGAGATGTAGGGTCCTGGAGCAGAAAAGGGACATTCATTAGTGGAAAATTGGGGTTGTTTTGCTATTTTAGTAATACTGAGTTATCACTGAGGTTCATTTTATAGTTTTGCTAATTTTCTTATGGTTATATAAAATATTAGCATGGTGAAGTGGCAGATCTCCTATTTTTGTAGCTCTTCTGTACATCTACAACTATTTTAAAGTAAAAATTAACATTTAAGTTTTAATGGCATTGCTTGGATATGTTGCCAAGCAATGTAATGGCATGCTGCCACCTTTTTTTTTTTTTTTTTTTTTTTAAAAGACAGTCTCACTCGGTCACCCAGGCTGCAGTGCAGTGGCACAATCTCAGCTCACTGTAACCTCTGCCTCCTGGGTTCAAGCAATTCTTCTGCCTCAGCCTCCCGAGTAGCTGGGATTACAGGCACCTGCCACCACACCCAGCCAGTTTTTGTATTTTTTGTACAGATGAAACCATGTTGGCCAGGCCGCTCTTAAACTCCTGACCTCAGGCAATCCTCCTGCCTTGGCCTCCCAAAGTGCTGGGATTACAGGTGTGACCAACTCTGCCCGGCCTGGCTGCCACTCTTGAATGCCTGTTATGTGCCAGGCAAAGTGCTAGGCGCTTTATATGCTTTACTACTAGTCCTCAAAGAGACCTTCCTTGATAGTTGGTATTGTTTGCATTGTTCAGGTGAGGAAATGGGAGTTCAGAATTACTAAATAATTGCCCAGATACAGTGATGAAACTGTACCCTACCACATTTCCAAAGTATATGGCCTGTTGTAAAGCTAACTCTGGGCAGGAATTTACTTTGATCTAAAAGTCTGCAAGATCCAAGAGGAAATTAGGCAGTTTGGCCTGATAAGTGGTCTCCTAAGAGAAAATGGAACAGTCTCTTTGAGGGGAGGTAGAAGTGTCTTTAAGGCTTGTGCAGTGAACTCTTTAATTATTCATACAGTGTCCAAATGCTAATTCAGAGAGGACACCATGTCAGAGACCTCTTTAAAGCACGGACTTCCTAAAGTGACCATAATAGAGTTTTGTTAATAGAGTTACTTGGTTATTATATAATAACTGATGTTCAGTTAATACAGTGCAAGATTCTCTTTCCAAAAAACATTGTTGATTTCGTATAGATGTTAAAAGACTTGACGAATTCACACCTTCTGAAAATTGCAAATTTGTTAATCAAAATGTCTTTTTTATCTTTTTTATACTTAGTCCTGCAGACAAAGTGTCCTGTGTTGCAGTCAGCTGAGATAAACAAGTTTTATTGATATTTAAGTGAGAATATAAAGATGGCTTGTTCACTTGTAAATATATTCCCTTTGCCTAGTGCTAACTACAGTATAGTCAAACCTGCTGATTACTTTTCTCTTCATCCTGTTTCTGTATTTTGTTGAGCCTTTCGGCTTAATTATGTATCTTTTTCCTAGGACTCCTTCTCCTCCCCCACGCCGGCGCTCACCTTCTCCTAGAAGATACTCTCCTCCAATACAGAGGAGATACTCTCCTTCTCCACCTCCAAAGAGAAGAACGGCTTCACCTCCTCCCCCTCCTAAACGAAGAGCATCACCATCTCCACCACCAAAGCGGCGGGTCTCCCATTCTCCACCTCCCAAACAAAGAAGCTCCCCAGTCACCAAGAGACGTTCACCTTCATTATCATCCAAGCATAGGAAAGGGTCTTCCCCAAGCCGATCTACCCGGGAGGCCCGATCACCACAACCAAACAAACGGCATTCGCCCTCACCACGGCCTCGAGCTCCTCAGACCTCCTCAAGTCCTCCACCTGTTCGAAGAGGAGCGTCATCATCACCCCAAAGAAGGCAGTCCCCGTCTCCAAGTACTAGGCCCATTAGGAGAGTCTCCAGGACTCCGGAACCTAAAAAGATAAAAAAGTAAAAATATTTTATGCTTTTTCATTAGGAATACTTACATAGCTCTTTATATTTGGAAGCTTCCCGCCCCCCCCCATATAAAAGGAATAAGTTATGAATATGAGCTTTTAAGTCAAACTTCAGGTACTATTTACAGATCCTGTTCCATTTTTGAGATAGTTTCTATGGCATAAGTTAAATGCCACGGGCTTTTAGTTGGTTCTTAGCAGTTATCAATTTGTTTTTAGGGGTATGCTTCCAAAACTAAACTTAAGTAAGAAATAGAACATTTCTTGTGTGTGATGTAAGGAACTGACATTACTAATCTTATATAAGAAGCATCATTAACAAAATGGATAGAGGATTATGAGGCTTTAGCCACCCTCTAGGAAACATAGGGATGTAAATTGGATATATGTTAGTAGAATCAACCAGCAATCTAAGTGGTATATTTGAAATTCATAACCTGGTTGTCCAGTGTAGTTGGTGGTTTTCTCATGTGAAGAGGTGTCTGTTCTCAATGCTGAATGTTTTTTCCTTTTTGTCTAGGGTTGCTTCCCCAAGCCCACAGTCTGTAAGGAGGGTCTCATCCTCCCGATCTGTCTCCGGGTCTCCTGAGCCAGCAGCTAAAAAGCCCCCAGCACCTCCATCCCCTGTCCAGTCTCAGTCACCATCTACAAACTGGTCACCAGCTGTACCGGTCAAAAAGGCCAAAAGCCCAACACCGAGCCCATCACCGCCAAGAGTATGTGTCTGCCTTATTTTGGACACCCTTTTATAAATATGTATGTGGTCACTTTGAAGCAGAGAAAATGTCATTGGGGCATTAAAATATTAGTGTTTAAACTTTTTTTCCCATTTGTGAGTTATATATCTGATCTTGGGCAGGTTTCTGTATTGCATAAAATCAGTGGTTAGATGTCCATCTGTTTTTTGTTTGTTTTTCGAGACAGGGTCTCAGGCTGTCACCCAGGCTGAGTGCAGTGGGATGATCATAGCTCACCGCAGCCTTCCTGGACTCAGGTGATCCCTTCGCCTCAGCCTCCCAAGTAGCTGGGATTACAGGCACATGCTGCTACACCTGGCTGATTTTTTGTTTTTAACTTTTTGTAGAGACAGGGTCTTGCTGTGTTGACCAGGCTGATCTTGAACTCCTGGCCTCTAGTGATCCTCCTGCTGTGGCCTCAGATGTCCATATTTAATTGGGTTGACTGAATAGTTGTGCAAGCTAACTTGTGAGGAGTTTTAAGTAATTGCTTAGAAGTGTGAAATTGAAATATTATGGATTAAATTATAGGAGCCTGCCTTTTACATAAATTTGGTATGTGTGTCATGAGGAAGAATCAGTCATCCCCACTCTAAAGATAGGAGAGCTCAGATGGTAGCTAGAGACATGGCATTCATACAGGCATGTGTTTAGACTAATGGCGGGTACCATTTATTAAAAGTCTGATACACGTTAGGCAAGTATTGTGGGTGATTTACAGATATTCCCATTTAATTTTCACAAGAGCTTTATCAGGTAGGGATTATTACACTTATTTTAGGTAAAAGGGTCTCAGAAAAAGTTCAACAATTTGTCTAAGGTCAAATAGTTCAGGAGCTGGAATTCAGCTCATCCTGGAGATAGCCCCTGACTTTGAATACCTTTCTTGGTGATAATTGGCCTTGGGTCTTCCCCGCTCACACCCTCTGAAGCCTTTTGGAAATCTTGAGATTTGTCCATTGGGAATTTGAGGAAATAAAATGTTCAGTTGGACAGAATATTAATCAGATTGATTATAAATGCTGGGTGTTTTTTTGTTTTTGTTTTTCCCCCTTCCTAGAATTCAGATCAAGAAGGAGGTGGAAAGAAAAAGAAGAAAAAGAAGGACAAGAAACACAAAAAGGATAAGAAGCACAAGAAGCACAAAAAACACAAGAAGGAAAAGGCTGTGGCTGCAGCTGCTGCAGCTGCTGTGACCCCTGCAGCCGTTGCAGCTGCCACAACCACATTAGCACAGGAAGAGCCGGTGGCAGCGCCAGAGCCGAAGAAGGTATTTATGAACTCTGTGTATGGCTCTCTTGCAGTATACGTACAGATAGCAAAGTCACTTTATTTTGAGAAGTAGCAAAATTGTTTTTTCTACTAATTGACTACTCTGAGATAAAATTCACACACCAAACAGTTAAGCCATTTACAGTTTGTGGTTCCCTGGGTTTTAGTATATTCAGTCGTCGGCCATCCCCACACTTTGATTTTGCTCTTTACTCAGCATTTCCCACCAGTGTTTTAAGACTTAACCAAGTAAATTCTGTTGTTGTTGTGTTTTTTTTAGGAGACTGAAAGTGAAGCTGAAGATAACCTTGATGATTTAGAAAAGCACCTGCGTGAAAAGGCCCTGAGATCAATGAGGAAGGCCCAAGTGTCCCCACAGTCTTAGGGGGAAATGTTTGTTATGATGTAAATTTTATTTGGTTTGTACGCAGTTCAATTTCAAAATTGCTAAAATGTGTTTGAGCTTTAGACTATAACATTTGTTGTAATAATTGCTAGGTTGAAGTTCACCATGTAAAAAAAGGGGGCATGGATTTACATTGCAAAAGGTGTCCACAGTGTATTAGTGACATTCTTTCATTGACAGCTGACATAATTCATTAAGTGAAATAATTTAAGCCAAAAAAAATTCCCTTTTTAAAAAAGGGGGTTTAAATACTGTTGGCATTTTTATGGTTCCTTTAAATGCCCTGGCTATTCCTAGAGGGGGTTTTTTGTTTGTTTTTTTGGTTTTGATCTTCTTTTTGTTTTTCTTTCTTCTTCTTACATTTTTTTCATTTGAGTCTTAGCTCCCATTTAAGTTATGCTACTGACCTTGTATGGTCTGTAAGCTTGCCCAGAAATAAGACCACTGTTTTGAACTACCACAAAAGTATAAATGAATATTTTAATGCCACCATCTTTCCTGTTGCCTGTGGAGTCTCTGCTGAAATGAATCAGGATTCGAGCTCTAGGATGAGACAGAAAATGAAAGCATGTTGTTTGCCAGGACACTGTGGGTTTATATGGATGTGTAACAAGTTGATTTGGAACACTGGACTCTCATTCTGTTCTTCTGGTTTTGTTTTTTTGTTTTGTTTTTTTCTTTTGTAAAGGCAATGAGCTAGTCCCAGAAAGGATCCTTCAGTTACATACAATTTGTTTAATGAAATGTCATGGCTCTGTTCATATCTTTGTCTTGTTCTTCCGATTGGTATATACAAGTTTCAGAGCTCTTGTATTTGGAAGGCTGGAAGGGCCCAGACTTTGGAATAGTGTCTTGGTTTCACTGTTTTTGTTTTGATTTTTTTTTTGTTTGTTTTGATTTTTTTTTTAAACTAAAGCTATATAAAGCTTGTGGATTAAACAGAATAAATTTCTAAATTTAAAAATTTTGCCACTCACTTTTACTTACTTAATAGTGCCTGTGTAAACCCTTTGGTGTGTTGGAAGTTGGGTAAGGGAAAGAAAAGGTGATGAAATTAAGGTTTTACCATCTTTATTTCAGTAATTACTGTGGTGAGTGCTGTAAAGGGAAAGTCTCAGCGTGTGATTGGAACATTTAGAATACTGGTGGGAGAAGTCCATCAGGCAAAGGGAAGAGCATTGCAGTCAGTGTCTGTGTATTCCCTGAGGCAGAAGGAGCCTGGCATGTTAGCAAGTGAACAAAGGCTAAGGAATGACGGGAACACCCTCTGTCGGCGTTGTGTGAGTGTGTGTGTGCACGTGCACGTGCACGCTCGTGCTTAATATTTGGCTATGTACAACCAAGTCTGTTTTGCATTTAAAACTCAGTGGAACGAAAATTTGGGGAAACTTGGCGTTGTTAACATAGTATGAGGTAAAACAGCAACATCTGTATGAAGGAAGTTCACCAGAACTGAGCAGGTCGACACATGTATGGTTTGATTATAAGTTCTGGCAGTTGAAGCAAAACAAGGAAGAAAATGCCTACAATCTTAATTTCTTTCTTTCTCTTCTTTTTTTTTTCTTGAGATGAGGTCTCGCTGTGTCACCCAGGCTGGAGTGCAGTGGTGTGATCTCAGCTCACTGCAACCTCCACCTCCTGGGTTCAAGCGATTCTCCTGCCCCAGCCTCCCGAGTAGCTGGGATTACAGGCGCCGGCCACTACGCCAAGCTAATTTTTCATATTTTTAGTAGCGACGGGGTTTCACGTCTTGGCCAGGCTAGTCTCAAACTCCTGACCTCAAGTGATCCACCTGCCTCGGACTCCCAAAGTGCTGGGATTATAGGCATGAGGCACCACACCCGGCCATAATGCCATAAAAGGCATACCAAAATTAACATGTCCAAAATAAGATTTTTAATATGATCTTCTGATCTCAGTCCATTTCAGTACCTGTCACTGTCATTTCTTCAAAATTGAAGAGTCCTTATAATCAGTGGCCATACTGTCTACTCCCCAATACTCTTGCATGCTGTTCCCTACAGCCCAAGTCACATCACAGGTGTGCTAAAATCCTCAGAAAGCAGTTTCAGAATAAAACAAAAATGTCTTACTATGGCTTGTAAGGGCTAATAGGATTGGGCCAAATCTGCTTTGGTAACTTTATTGTCACTCAGCAGTCTACTCGAGCCATGCTGGCCACCCTGTCTTCCTTTTTTTCCAAAAAGCTGACTTCTCTTTCAGAGACTTTTGTACCGTGCCCACGGTTCTTTATCCTGGAAGGCACTCCTGGTCTTACTGCTTGTTTCTTTATTTGGTTTGCCTCAGACACTTCCCCAGTTCCCTCTCCTTTGTTTTCATGGATGTCAACTTTTGCTACCTAAAATTATGCATTTACTACCTAAAATAATGCATTTGCCACCTAAAATGATGCATTTTTGCTCGCTAGGAAGCTGGTCTTATTCTTGGCTATTTCCCCAGTGGTACAAACCAGTGTACCACGATACACTGTATTCCAGTGTATTCATTCGAGGAATGAGTAAATTTAGTTGTCATTGCATCCATACTGGCCAGATACTACTAGGGTTTGAGGTAAAGTGAAGAGGCCAGACGCAGTGGCTCAGGCCTGTAATCTCAGCACTTTAGGAAGGACGAGGTGGGGGTACTGCTTGAGCCCAGGAGTTTGAGACTAGCCTGGGCAACATAGGTGACCCCCCTAAAAATTAGCTGGTCATGGTGGCATGTACCTGTAGTCCCAGCTACTCCAGAGGCTGAGGAGGGAGGATCATTTGAGCCTGGGAGGTCAGGGCTGCAGCAAGCAGTGATTGTGCCATTTCACTGCAAAAAAAAAAAAAAAGATGATTGCTGTCCTTAAGGAGCATCCACCTACTGGGTATGCAGACATGCAAACAATTTACGGACTGCACACTGAGTCTGGTGAACCAGGATTTCTACCATAGCTTCTACTGAATGGTCTTGGGCAAGTTACTTGACCTTGAAGTGATGCCATTTCCTCTTCAGTGGAAATGATGGAATCTACCTCAGAGTTTTTGAAGATTTAAATGTGTCAGTTAATACATATAAAGCAATGATACCAAAAGACAGCTTCCCATTCTAACATGACATAGCCATTCTTGTAATTATGGCAAAGTTTAGTTTAGATGACAAAAAAGTATTTTAGATCAGCCCCATGTAAGGCAATTTTTTTTTTTTTAAGATTTAACTCACATGCCATAAAATTCACCATCTCAGTGGTATTCAGAAGTTATGCAACCTTCACCAATATCTGTTCCAAAATATTGTCGTCACCCCAAAAAGAAACTTTGGGCTCATTAACAGTCACTTCAATTACCCTGACAGTTCTTTTAGCCCCAGCCCCTGGCAAGTACTTTGCTATCTATAGATTTGCCTATTCTGTACATTTCACTGAAATCATACAATATTGGGCCTTTTGTCTGGCTTCTTTCACTTAGCACAGTGTGTTCCAGGTTCGTTCACGTTGTAACAGGCATCAGTGCTTCATTTTTATTTTTATTTTTATTTTTTGAAACAGGGTCTTTTATCTGTCACCCAGGTCAGAGTGCAGTGAGGCAGTCATGGCTCACTGCAGCCTCGACCTCCCAGTCTGAGGCAACCCTCCCACCGCAGCCTCCTGAGTAGCTGAGATTACAGGCATGCGCCACCATGCCCAGCTAATGTTTGCATTTTTTCAGTACACATGAGGTTTTACCATGACTGGTGTCAAACTCCTGGACTCAAGTGACCCACCTGCCTCAGTTTCCCAGAGTGCTGGTGTCAGAGGTGTTCAAACCAGAGCAACTCCATCTTGAATAGGGGCTGGCTAAAATAAGGCTGAGACCTGCTGGGCTGCATTCCCGGGAGGTTAAGGCATTCTTAGTCATAGGATGAGACAGGAGGTTGGCACAAGATACAGGTCACAAAGACCTTGCTGATAAACAGGCTGTGGTAAAGAAGCCGGCCAAAACCCGCCAAAATCAAGATGGTCATCCTCATTGCTCATTATATGCTAATTATAATGTATTAGCATGCTAAAAGACACTTCCACCAGCGCAGTGACAGCTTACAACTTCCGGAAGTTACCCTTTATGGTCTAAAGTGGGGGAGGAGCCCTCAGTCCTGAGAAATCCATGCCCCTTTCCTGGAAAACTCATGAACAATCCACCCCTTGTTTACCATCTAATCAAGGAATAACTGTAAGTATACACAGTGGAGCACCCATGCCGCTGTTCTGCCTGTGGAGTAGACTTTTTTTTTTTTTTTTTTTTTGTTTGTTTGTTTTTTGTTTTTTGAGACGGAGTCTCGCTCTGTTGCCCAGGCTGGAGTGCAGTGGCGTGATCTCGGCTCACTGCAAGCTCCGCCTCCTGGGTTTACGCCATTCTCCTGCCTCAGCCTCCTGAGTAGCTGGGACTACAGGCGCCCGCCACCGTGCCCGGCTAATTTTTTGTATTTTTAGTAGAGACGGGGTTTCACCGTGGTCTCAATCTCCTGACCTTGTGATCTGCCCGCCTCGGCCTCCCAAAGTGCTGGGATTACAGGCGTGAGCCACCGCGCCCGGCCTACATTTTTTATCCTCTACTTGCCTAATAAACTTACTTTGACTTTATGGACTCACCCTGAATTCTCTCTTGGGGTCTGGATCAGGACCCTTTTCCGGTAACACTGGGATTATAGGCGTGAGCCACCGTGTCCAGCCACTTCATTTCTTTTTACTGTTGGATAGTATTCCCTAGTTTGAATATACCATGTTTTGGTTATCCATCAGTTGAATATTTGAGCTATTTCCATCTTCTGGCTACTAGGATAAAGCTGCTATGAACATTTGCATATAAGTTTCTGTGTAAGCATATGCTTTGATGCTGTTGGATATATGTGCCTAGGATTTGGAATTTCTTGGAATTGCTGGGTCGTGTAGTTGTATGTTTAATGTTTTTGGGAACTGCACCTTTTTTTTTGAGATGGAGTTTCGCACTTGTTACCCAGGCTGGAGTGCAATGGCACTATCTCGGCTCACTGCAACCTCCGTCTCCCAGGTTCAAGCGATTCTCCTACCTCAGCCTCCTGAGTGCTGGGATGACAGGTGCCCGCCACCAAGCCTGGCGAATTTTTGTATTTTTAGTAGAGACGGGGTTTCACCGTGTTGGCCAGGCTGGTCTTGAACTCCTGACCTCAGGTGATCCACCTGCCTCGGGCTCCCAAAGTGCTGGGATTACAGGTGCCCGCCACCGTGCCTGGCCACAGCTGCACCATTTTACATTCCTACTATCAGTGTATGAGGATTCCAGTTTCCCCATGTCCTTGTCAATATTTGTCATTATCTGTCATCTTGATTATAACCATCCTAGTGGGTGTGAAGTGCTATCTCACTGTGTGTGATATGCATTTGCCACATGGCTGGTGATGGTGAGCATCTTTTCACGTGCTGGTATTCCTCAATGCCATTTTAAGCTGATTTGTATCTGCATGAACATGTTTCTGAAGTTGTGGGTATAGGATTAGATCCAGGGCTGGGTTCAGAGTCTGTAGAAGAGAGCTGATGGTATTTGTAGTATTCTCATACCCATATGTGGAGGTTGGAGATAGGGAACTATGGCCAAACCAAAATGTGTTCCCATTTTATAAACAGGATCAGGAGACTCAGGGAGAGTGTGACTTAAGGTAACTGGTAGGTGCACTTCTAATTAATATTGTCCCTTTACCATCTGATAAAGAACCCAATATTTTCAGCTGGGCGCGGTGGCTCACGCCTGTAATCCCAGCACTTTGGGAGGCCGAGGCGGGTGGATCACGACGTCAGGAGATCGAGACCATCCTGGCTAACATGGTGAAACCCCATCTCTACTAAAAATACAATTAGCTGGGCGTGGTGGCACGTGCCTGTAGTCCCAGCTACTTGGGAGGCTGAGGCAGGAGAATTGCTTGAACCTGGGAGGCGGAGGTTGCGGTGAGCCGAGATTGTGCCACTGCACTC